TAATGTATAACTTTACCCAATATTTCTGTTTCAAGTACATGCTGTTCTTTGTAACTTTCTATTAATCAAATAATCCTGAAAAATGGGAAGTGGAGTAAATGGCTGCTGTAAATTCACGATCACAGGGATAAATTACATTTTCAAATATATTCAAGTAGAAAACAGTTGTTTTAAATTGTAATAAAATATTACTTTTTTACTTTATTTTTGATCAAATAAATGCACACGTCTGGGTGGGTGAAAGAAACTTCTTTCAAAAACATTCTTGCCAAACCCAGACTTGTGAAATATATTTTACTTGAAAATAAATGTCAGATTTTGTTATCAAATACATTGACTTTCATACAGTAAGAGTTCATATACTTTTTATATTAAAGAATGCAAGACAAATACATATTTATTTTTGCTATGTTGTTCTGTTTTTCAGCCTGTGTGATCAGTTTACAATTCTAATCATGATAACAATTATTATTTTTCATTGCTAGACCTCCATAATGCTCAGGGTCTAGCTGTAGACTGGGTCTCCAGAAACCTCTTCTGGACCAGCTATGATACGAATAAGAAGCAGATCAATGTTGCACGCCTAGACGGGTCCTTCAAGAATGCTGTAATCCATGGACTGGACAAGCCTCACTGTTTGGTGCTACATCCTATCCTGGGGTTAGTACAAGTACTCACACATGCACAATTGCTAGTTCAGGCTTAGCATTAGTGCCTTTCTGTCATTTTAGTCTCTTTAGACTCTTTCGCTCTCAGCTTATTTAGTAGGCCACATTTGGAGAGGAACAGATGCCGTGCCAGTATGTTTCTGGCGGCGATCGTAAAGGGTGTAGATGAGAAATGTAGACGTTGCTCATTAGTGTGAGCTATAGGCTGGACAATATGGCTTCCCTCATGTTGCACTTCTCAGTGTGTTGCTGTGTGGCCAATGTGAATCAGATGTGTTTAGTGCCAGTGTGCTAGTTTCTAGACGCACCAGTTTCTAATAAAATCAGCAAGCTTGTGGATGCAGACAATATAAATCATTCAGCTGGTTTTTCATTTGTTCGGTGCGTTTTGCCCTCTACAGTGTTTTTGATAAATTAGTGTTTATTTCTTCTCTCACTGGCAGTAAGTACATCACAGTGTTTTGAGGCATTCAGCTGACTAAGATATGAAGACACTTTCCTGGATTTTATTTTTAAGCCAAACCAAAATAAAGCATTACAATGCCTTTTTATGTCCAGAATCTTGAATAACAGAACCTCAACAAATGTGGGGCTCTTTGCAAATAAACAAATATTGGTAACTGAAACGACTAAAATAGTTTTTGCTAATTGAAATAAAGCAGGAATAAAATAAAAATATTAGATTTAAAACTTGAAAAAATTAAAAACTATACTAAACTAAAACTCAAATTAATTAAAGCTATATAGAAATATAAAACAAACTAATAAGAATTACAAAAAACAAAATTATTAAAACTTATTTTAAAATTAAAATGAGAACATAAAATTAAAGCTAATAAAAATATTAAAAGTTAAAATATATATATATAAACTAATAAGAATGACAGAAGTGCATAAAATTATTAAAACATAAACTAAAATTAAAATGAGAACTGAAATTATAAAAGCAAAAGCTAATTCAAAATATGAATAAATACTATAATAGTTATAAATAATTGTAAACGTTGTCACAAATAATTAGCAGATACCTTCTTTATGTCAGGACTTAGCTACTGTTGTCTTATTTTTTGCGTATTGTTTACAGGAAGCTCTACTGGCTTGATGGTGACAACATCAGTATGGCCAACATGGACGGCACCAACCACACATTACTGTTCACCAGTCAGAAAGGCCCAGTGGGTGAGTGGCCTGTCTTGTGTAACTTTTGTTTGCCTAAAGCTAAAAGAAGGCCTTGTGGAGATGTTGTTTTATACGTTGACGTCTTCCCATGGCAGGTCTGTCCATAGACTTTGACATGGAGCAGTTGTACTGGATCAGCTCAGGGAACAGCACCATTAACCGCTGTAAGCTGGATGGTTCCGGACTGGAGATCATTGAGGGTGTTAAAGGAAAACTCACCAAAGCTACAGCCCTCGCTATCATGGGTGAGACAGCACCATCAACCTGTTTCCAATGCAACTAAAACTTTGTGATGTAACTCACTGAACTGAAGTTTGTCTAACTTAATTGTGACTTGTGAAGTGTTTCTGTTAAGTATGAATGGTGTGAGACTACAGCTCTTAAAAATTCTTCCACATAACTAGATGACAGTGCTCTCCGAAAAACCATAATTGTGATTTTTGTGAACAATGGTCATAGAGTTCACTGCATTGTAAAACCCATTTGAGGTAAGTGACTGACCTCTTATGTTTTATGTGTAGGAGATAAGTTGTGGTGGGCCGATCAGGGCACAGATCAGATCGGTACATGTGACAAGAGCGATGGAGGCAACTGGAAGGTTCTCCGAAATAACACCTCACCCATGATGCATATGAAGATCTACAATGAGACTGTTCATCAACTAGGTGTGTTTTCATATTTATATTAATTACGTAACCTTAAAATGCACGTGACTTTGTCCCCATAAATGAATATGCAGGTGAAAAGGAGAAATTACTCTTTATAAAATTACTAATTTTTAAAAGGAAAATTTATTATTTTTTTAAATAAAATCATTAATTTCATTCATTACATTTTTTAATTAAATGTATTCATTTTTAAATTATTATTATTTTTATTATTATTATTATTGGTGTGTTTTTTTTTTATTGGTGTTGCTTAACTAAATATTACATTTAAAGAATACCCAGTTAAAGGTTAAAGGGGTCATATGATGCTATTTCAATTTTTCCTTTCTCTTTGGCACATAATCAAAAAGGAATTTCTGGATTGTCAGATGGCAAGACAGATTAAATAATTGTTATAATAGAGGATAATTCATTTTAATTTGTACTTAAAATATAATGTAATTTATATTGATTAGTGACTTTGTCCCTTTAAATTCATTTGGAGGTAAAAATGAGATATTCTTCTTTATAAATTACGGGTTTAAAATAAATTATTTTGATAATGTTTAATTAGGCTACTGATTCATTTGAAAATATAATGAATAACAACAACTATTATTATTATTATTTCATTTCAATTAAATGTGAAAATAGTTCACGTAATCAAAGGGGAATTCCTGGGTTGTCAGATGACAAGACAAATTACATATTAATATTATAATAGGTCTTATTTCGATTAATGCTTAAAATGAACACAACTATAAATAATTTAAAAATAATGCAAACTATTAACCAAAGATGATACCATTTGGATGTGTCTGATATCTACTATAGGTACCAACCTCTGCAGTAAGAACAATGGCGACTGCTCTCAGCTTTGCTTGCCAACTTCACCAACTACAAGAGCCTGCATGTGTACGGCTGGATATAGTTTGAAGAGTGGCCAACAGTCCTGTGAAGGCAAGATCTCATACAAACCTCACTAATGTACAACATTTGCTTTCACATGACCACATTGTAACATTGTGTTTATGGCACTTCTGTATAAAGGCATGGGCTCGTTTTTGCTCTACTCTGTGCACGAGGGCATCCGTGGCATCCCTCTGGACCCGTCAGATAAATCTGATGCCCTGGTACCTGTGTCAGGCACCTCTCTTGCTGTGGGCATTGACTTCCATGCTGGTGAGTATGCAAATATCAGTCTGAAAATTTCTCTGAATGCAACTAACTTGAAGTGTTTTGTGCTTCTTTTGCCCTGTAGAGAATGACACCATCTACTGGGTTGACATTGGCCTTAGCACTATTAGCCGAGCCAAGAGAGACCAGACCTGGAGGGAGGACATAGTGACTAATGGCATTGGACGTGTGGAAGGCATTACCGTGGACTGGATTGCAGGTGTGCAAATGTGCAAACACACAAATTAAAAGCGCATTATATATTAATGCATCTAACACATTGTGTTGTTTTGTATAAATAGGCAACATCTATTGGACTGATCAAGGCTTTGATGTGATTGAGGTGGCCAGACTCAACGGCTCCTTCCGCTATGTGGTCATCTCTCAGGGTCTGGACAAACCTCGTGCCATTGCTGTACATCCAGAGAAAGGGTGAGGGAATGTGTCTGTGTTTTAAGTGAAGATGGGGAATGTGTGCCTATGAACATGAGAAAACAGTGTATGATCTCATGATCTTAGACTCAAGTATTTGTGTGTACAGGTATCTGTTCTGGACGGAGTGGGGTCAGTATCCGCGTATTGAAAGATCTCGTCTGGATGGTTCTGAAAGAGTAGTTCTTGTCAATGTCAGCATCAGCTGGCCCAATGGCATCTCCATTGATTACAAGGTTTGTACATAAACACACTGTGCCTCTTTTGCAGAACAAGTTTATTTTGGGTTCTGGTACCAGATTTAATTGCTAATCAACTTTTAGAAGATGATTATTATTATTAAGATTTTTTAATGCTGTTTTTTAAACTTTCTGTTCATTAAAGAATCTATAAAAAATATATCATGTTTTCCACAAAAATATCAAGCAGCTGTTTCAACATAGTTTCTTGAGCATCAAATCAACATATTAGAACAATTTCTGATGGATCATGTGACACGGAAGACTGAAGTATTGGCTGCTGAAAATTCAGCTTTGCCATCACAGGAATATATTACATTTGAAAATATATTGGCGTAAACAGTTATTTTAAACTGTAATAATAATATTTCACAATGGTACTTTTTTAAAATGTATTTTTGAACAATTAAAAAAGAAAAATCTTAGCAACCCCAAACTATTGGCTGGTAGTGTTTATTTCATTTAATTTGTATTTTAATTACATAAAAATGTATTGTAGCAATGAAACCACAACAGTATGGTAAGTGTTATATAACTAATGTTGTACAATGTGTAGGAGAGCCTGCTGTATTGGTGTGATGCACGTACAGACAAAATTGAGCGCATAAATCTGGAGACTGGTGAAAACCGTGAGCTGGTGCTGTCTAGTAACAACATGGACATGTTTGCTGTTTCTGTGTTTGAGGACTACATCTACTGGAGTGACAGGTGCCAACACATTATTCCTTGACTATTGCTTATTATTACCCCTTTTTAACTGGCCCCTTTTATTCATATTAATTTATGTTCTCAAAGGTTTTTATATCTTGCTATTGCAGTGGATTTTACAGGTAATGAGCTTTTTATCTTCTGCTGTTTCCAATAGGACGCATGCCAATGGCTCCATCAAGAGAGGAAACAAGGACAACGCCACAGACATGGTGTATCTGAGAACAGGAATTGGTGTACAGCTCAAAGACATTAAAGTCTTCAACCGTGCAAGACAGCAAGGTGTGTATCCTCCTGAAAAGCGCTCTAAAGAACTTTTTTTTGACTATATAGCAGGGGTTTCCAATCATAAGGACCCTCCAGGGTTTTAGCCAACCAAGAGACCCTAGTATATAAAAAGTTGGATTTTAACAATAGCAACTGTGTTCATTTTAATATCTTAATATTGTTTGCAGGTACCAACATCTGTAAAGTGAACAATGGTGGTTGTGAACAGCTGTGTCTGTACCGGGGTAATGGCAATTGTACCTGCGCCTGCGCCCACGGCATGCTGGCAGAGGACGGCCACAGCTGCAGGGATTACGATGGCTACCTCCTCTACTCGGAGCGCACGATACTAAAGAGCATTCACCTATCGGATGAAACAAACCTCAATGCTCCCATTAAACCCTTTGAAGACCCAGAGCACATGAAGAACGTCATCGCCCTTACCTTTGACTACAGGGGTGGCGGTGGAAAGGGATCCAACCGGATCTTCTACAGCGACATTCACTTTGGTAACATTCAGCATATCAGCGATGACGGCTCTGACCGCAAGACCATAGTGGAGAGTAAGTGCCCAATCTTTTCATTCATTTTTTTTATTTCTCTGTTTTGCGCACACCATCTGGATGTGGCTAACAGCAATACTAAGGGCCCTATTTTAACGATCTAAGTGCATGGTCTAAACGCACTGCGCAGGTGCACTCAGGGCATGTCCGAATCCACTTTTGCTAGTTTAATGACGGGAAAACGGTCGGCACGCATGGTCTAAGCGGGTTGTCCCTATTCACTTAATGAGTAATGGGTGTATTCTGGGCGTAACGTGCAATAAACCAATCAGAGTCTCATCTCCCATCCCCTTTAAAAGCCAGTTGCGCTCGCGCCATGGCGGGTTCGCTATTTACATGGCGGAATGTAATTTTTAAAAATGTTTTTGTGCTGCTTACCCTGTGTGTGTAATAAGCAAAATGTACGCGCGTTGTGCACCTGCATATTACTAACGCGCTCTTTAAATAACAAAGAAAAAATATTGCACCAGACTTTAGACCAAGTTTGAGTTGGTCTATGGCGCAGTCTATTTTCAGTTCCTCAAAATAGCATCGCGCCAACAATGCGCCTGAACACACCTCTTTTTTAGACCAGCACGCCCATGGGCGCAAATGCATTTGCTATTTAAACAACGCGGCGCAGTATGGGAAAATGAGAACTGCATCGGGCTGAAACTATCAAAAACACTTGCGCCGCATTGCGCCCGGGTGTATGATAGGGCCCCTAAGAGTGAGAAATTATAATGAAACCAAGTACTTGAAAAAATAAATGCTATTTTAATTTGGAAAATACAGTCTTTATTCAGCAACAATGCATTTGATCAGAAGTGACAGTAAAGACTTACACTGTTATAAAAGAGTTCTATTTCAAATATATGCTGTTCTTTTTAACTTTCTATTCATCAAAAATCCCTGAAAATAGTTTCATGGTTTCCACAAAAATATTAAGCAGCACAACTGTTTTCAACATTGATATGTTTCTTGAGCAGCAAATCAACATATTAGAATGTTTTCTGAATGATCATGTGACATTGAAAACCTGGAATAATGCTGAAAATGTAGCTTTGCCATCACAGGAATAAATTACATTTTAAAATATTACAATAGAAAACACATTTTCACAATATTTTTACTGTATTTTTGATCAAATAAATGCAGCCTCAGTGTGCATAAGAGACTTGTTTCAGAAAAATTCTTTCAAATCTTACCAACCCAAAACTTTGGAAAGGGAATATATAGTATATATGTATATTTCTACCAATTAAATATGCACATGGTCATTATTTAGAAATATTTGCAATTGGATAATCAGAATCAAGTATTTCAGAGAGATGTGTAATAAATATGTACATAATTACGTACCAAAAACGATTAGTGAACATCATTTTTTTTTTTTTTTTTTTAAATGTCATTAATTTTAGATGGTTAGACAGATGCCAGTGGAGGCTGAAAATGTTTATCAGCTCCTATAGTAGCATGAAGTAGTAAGAACACAAGTAACATTTAGTAACAATGCAAGCATTGAAAAAAACAATACACCAAAAGCAAAACCCTTCATTCAAAGTTTGTGTTGCTTTTGTTGTAGACAGTTTCTTCCTGATATGCCATATAATGAGTCAGTAAAGAAAGCAATTTCATCAATGGTTTCAAATATATTAAAAGTCTGACATGGACATTTCTAGTCTCTAAAGTACATTTCTTAACAATATATGATATAGTTTGATGTTCACATAAAGATCTGTTATTACATAATATCATCGAAGTCTTCACAGGTAATTCAGGCTCTATATCTGGCAGAACAAATCAATGTAGTTCAAACACATTACAGCAGAAACACATTAAATGCTTCTGCATGGTTCGGGACTTTATCCTCATGGTTGGGGAGGGGTGTCCAGCTCCACAGGGTTAAAGGGCTCCACTATGGCGCTTCCTGGACACATAACGCACCTGTAACCTTTGCAGCACACCCGTCCCAATGTCAGCAGCTCTCTACGAAATTTGTTTGACATGAAAGCATAGAGTAGCGGATTGGCTACAGCCGAGGAGCTCGCTAACAGCCGGGCGATGATGGCGAAGTTGAGATGATGTGCGTGTATATTTCTATTATTGGTAGCGATGAGCAAGAACATGAGGATGTAGGATGGCAACCAGCAGATGGTGAAGACTAACACCAACAGGATCGACGTCTTGGTCACCTGGTTCTGGTAGCGCTCCAGTTGCGGCGCGGTACCTTGCAGTTGCGTCCTTCGCAGGAAGCTGTAGAGTTTGGTGTACATGACGACGATGATGATCAAAGGGAAAGCAAAGCTGAACAGGAACAGAATAGTACTGTAGACCAACTGGCTGAGGTCTGATAGAAACGCAAAGCAGAGGATGGGCACAGTCCTCAATTGGCGGAAAGCAAACTGAGGTGCTGCAAGAGCCACGGCCGGCACCCACATGAGAATCACAGTAACCCGCAGCCAGCGGCGCATTCGGAAACGATACGTCCAAGTGGGGTGCACCACAATCAGGTAGCGCGTTACCGCTAATGCAGCTAGTGTGAATACGCTCGCCGAGTTACAGGCCACTCCCAGAAAACTGATGACTTTGCATAGGATGCTGCTGAAGGGCCAGTAGCCCAGTGCTATAGCGGCAGTGTGGAAGGGCAGGCAAATGAGCAGCAGTAGATCCGAAGCGCTCAAGGCTAAAAGTAACGTATCTGTCCCTTGAAGAGACTGGAGTCCATTTTTCCTCCTCCGTCCGGTCAGGACGTAGATGACCAGCGAGTGTCCCACCAGCCCGATCAGCATGACTATTGCGTCCAGAGTGGGAGCTAAGACCCGTGTTAGTTCCCAGCTCAGACTCCCATAATCATGGCTAATATTCATACTTAACACACTGAAGAGCAATTTACTGAAGTGTGGGATGGCATACGTTCAAACTCCATATGAAGATCGCCGTCTGCTTCAGGCTAATAATTAGCCCTTTTGAGAGTTAATAACTTCCTCACATGGCAAATCATCATTGGGGTGTTTACTCCAAGAGATAAAGGCAGTCTCTGCTGGGGTGGTTGTTAGTGTTTAGCATTAGCATTTAGCAATATATCCTCCTAGGAAGTTGAGAATTCATGTTAACACTTTTTTTTTCTGGTACGTCTGGTACATTTAAAAAATAAATAAACATAAATAATATATGTATTATAAATAAATATAAATTAATTAATTATAAATAAATAAATAAAATATTATATATACACTTTATAAATAAGTTTGTCACACACAGATTGTGTATGAAAGGTAATACAGCTGGGTCACTGCCCAGTCAGTTATCATTAGACTTCATAATTTAACATTTAGTAATATAGAACAAATCAAGTGAGCTTTTGTAATAACCAATCAAATATCCAGGGACTACAATGCTAATTTCTATCATCAAATTTTTTGAAATCAAATGTTCTTTAAAAAAGTAAATAAATAGTCAGTATATTATATAATATGATATAATATAATACAATATAATATAATAGATTCAAGTAGAATCGAGTATAAATTGGTATATTATATTATATTATATCATTATGAACCTATTGGATTTGTATGCTGGCAACATTTTTCAGCTTTCGAGTCAGCGTTATTTTAATATTATGTATATACTATTTAGTTGTTATTCATATTTTTAATTCGCTTTTGTTTTTATATTTTCACTTTTGTGCACTATTTTATTAATTTTAGTAAATTTACTTTTTAATTTGACCTTTATTTCAGATTTAGTAATTTTGTACTTCAACTCAAATTTATTTTTATTTCAGTTAGTTGTCAAGGCAACATTTAGCAAAATTAGTAATTTATTTCAGTTTTATTTGAATTAACAGACATTATTTAAATGAACAGAAACTATTTTTATTCATTTTAGTTAATAACAAGGTTTCGAATGCAGCCAAAGACTTCCAGTATTACCATAAACATTTGTGTTTCATCATTTGTAATGTGAAAACAGTTCCTTTCACATGTGATCACTATTAAACTTCATCTCGTATTTGAAATTATGGAAGGTGCTTACCTTACGGCCATCCATGATTGCTGTTTGCTTGTATTGATTGAGTGAAACCAGGCAACCCTGCAAAACGTGATTCCCTGCATCTGTCAATGGCCGCTACATTACGAACTGTCGATTCTACTTGAATCTAAGTGCCCAATGCAACTTTCCTCTTATGATCAATTAAATGACTCTTCAGATTAATTCCAAGTCCTTTAGCTTGGCTGTTCTAGGACTTTGTCCTTCTGCTGCAAGGAAAGCAAGATGACTCTCCTCGGTCTGTCCTAATGTGAGATTTCTCTCGCAGAGGTGGAGTAGTAGTAGGAGGAACGACTAACACCAAACACCATAACGATCCTCCTGACCTCCAAGTTCAAAGTACAATGGGTGGTTGTTCAGGTATCATCATCTAATACATCGATTGTCAAGTTTACTGGCCTTTTCCTAGAACAACGTAGTTTCTGTGATGATGACGTCTCATCTGTTGGCTGTGGCTATTATGCAAGTATCTTATTCTTCCTTTGGCCTAAAGACTGATGTGTTTTACAGGATCATTATTGGTTTTTAGCAAAAGTAAACAACTTGGTTGAGTGTCCTTCCTGTTTTATGGTGGAGCAATCGCTGTCGTAAAGCAGCCATTGGTGTGATGCAGATAGATGCAGCGAAGCCCCTCATGGGCTCATAAATTTTGTGGAGGGTGACTATTATTCAGTGTGACTAAGACTCATTGGGACTCTTTCGACGGTGCTGACTGAAGCGCATTGCTCCACATTGCTTCTCACCCCAGCGTTGTGTCTGAGACTCTTCCAGCAGTCCTCTCTTTGTGAAAGAACTAGTCACCGTGGTTAAAGAGATTCACAGAGGGAGGGGTCTTGTATGCACAGGCACCCATCCATGAAATGACCGGATGACACTAAGCCACTAAACACACACATGCACCAGCAACAACGGCTATCTCACAACATGCTGAAACCAACATGCACACGTATCATGGGATTAAACTGTTCACTGGGACAGGATAAGAAGTTTAAAAAGAGATGTTTTGGACTTGCCCTGTGTTAATCATAGAATTGGTTTACTCTATGAAGCTTAGATGACATTAATCCAGTTTGAAGTTGTTGCCAACTTTTCCAAGAAGTTCAGATGCCTCGTTTTTTGTTTCATTTTTAGCTATAGTGTGCAGTAGAGTTAGTTTGTTCAAAATACATACAGTGTGTCTGTGCACAGAATTATAATGAAGAAAAACAGATTGGATGCAGTAGAGTTGTTCTTGGATCAGAAACAAGCAGTCAGAGCAGGATTCTCTATATACTTCCTCAGTTTAAGACCATTTTTCTTCTTTTCATTTGAACAGGTGTAGGATCAATTGAAGGTTTGGCTTATCACCGGGGTTGGGACACACTATACTGGACCAGCTACACCACCTCCACCATCACACGGCACACTGTGGACCAGAGTCGCACTGGAGCTTTTGACAGAGACAATGTGGTCACTATGTCCGGGGATGACCACCCCAGAGCCTTTGTTCTGGATGAATGCCAAGAGTATGAACATTGTATATTAAATTTGCCATGATGCAATGCTGTGTTTTGATTATTCTCCTGGGCCTACAATCCCAAGAGTTTGAATCATATTCAGTATGAACTACTACCCTACCAAATACCGAAAACATTTTTGTTTTCACCGCCAACTTTATATATAATTTTTTTTTACAATTTTATTTAAATACCTATATCACCGATCTTAATTTTAGCTTTAACTGCCAAAGTGATGTTCTTATAATTAATGATTATGATAATTAATTCATAATTTTATTATAAAACAAATCCCAAAAATAGGCATTTTTGTGATGCTCACATAATTAATTGTAATAATTGATTTATAATTTTATTTAATCATTTATTTTTTGCAATAATTTATTTTGTTTTATTTATTTAAAAATGTATAATTATTGAATACTTCAATAATCTATTTATTTAATAATATTAAATAAAGATATTTAATAATATTATTAAATTATTCATATTAAATTACTCTGTTGCGTACTTTGGGCTTTTTTTGTTGTTTTTTTGCTTTTTTTTGCTTTTTTATCTTGTGTTGCTTTTGTTGTAAGTAGACCTCACATGCCAGTTTCTGTTTTTAAATTCCATTTTGTGTGCTATTTCTTTCAGCTTGATGTTCTGGACTAACTGGAATGAACAGACTCCAAGTATCATGCGAGCCTCTCTTTCTGGAGCGAATGTCCTTGTGATCATCGGCAGTAACATCCGCACCCCGAACGGCCTGGCCATCGACCACCGGGCTGAGAAAATCTATTTCTCAGACGCCACATTTGACAAGATTGAGCGATGCGAGTATGATGGCAGTCGACGCTTCGTGAGTTCCTCTCTATTTATGTCTTACTTTTTCTGTTTGTTCATGGGAAAGGAAGAGTTCTTGACTGTTGCATGGTAGATCATGACTCTAAAAGCGCAAAGTTCATGAGCTTGATTCTTAGAGTACACATACTACTGACATCTTGTACACCTTGAATTTCTTTGCAAAATGAATGTAAATCGTACCTGTGATTAGGTGGTGCTAAAGAACGAGCCAGTGCATCCTTTCGGTTTGGCGGTGTATGGTGACTATATCTTCTGGACAGACTGGGTGCGCAGAGCTGTGCTCAGAGCTAATAAATACGGCACAGATATGAAAGTCCTACGTGCCGACATTCCTCAACAGCCAATGGGCATCATTGCTGTGGCCAAAGACACCAATAGCTGTAAGTTTTGTACTGAAGACTGACTTATCCATGTGTAAAGAGTCACGGTTTAAATATTTTTTCAGCATGCCAATATTAGAAATAGTATTATTTCCACAAGGTTATTATAGTCTACAGAAGCTAAAACCATAAAATATTGTATTACCTAAATGTTATCTGAAAATAAAATAAGATATATTTGATTTCAGCTAGTTGACAAGGCAACATTTTACATTTTTAAGGTATTAAAATAGCTACATTTAAACTTAAATAAAAAATTTAAAAAATACGTATTTCACAACAAAAACTAATAAAAATGTCAAAATAGTAAAACTTTGAAATGAAAACAGAAAATGAAATTTCTATTACATTTAAATTCTAATTAAAAAAACTATAATAGTGTCTCAGTGATACTAAAGTAACACTGCTCTGAAATGGCTTAAAAGGGTAAATATTAATCTATTTATTTATTTATATACTTATTCATTTACACTAGCACACAAAATTGATAAAACTGACACAATTGATTTTTAACTAATTATGAAAATTAATGGAACTGATGATGATTTTACGTATTACCCAGCCCCAAAATTCATTTGAAATTGGTCATTTGTGTCTGTAGGTGAATTTTCTCCATGTCTCATCAATAATGGAGGCTGTCAGGACCTGTGTCTGCTCACGTCAGAAGGACGAGTCAACTGCAGCTGCCGTGGAGAGCGCAAACTACTGGGAGACAACACCTGTGTTGGTGAGAGAGACAAACAGGAAGCTAGTGTCTAAAATATAAGCCTGTCCTGTTCTGAGCATGCTCCATTAGTTTCTTCTGAAAAGTGCAGCATAAAATTAAAGCATATCTCTCTGTCTCCCAGCGGAGAACACAACCTGCAACAGCGTGGATGAGTTCGAATGTGGAAACGGCGACTGTATCGAGTACAGCCTGACTTGTGACAGTCTCGGCCACTGCAAGGACAAGTCTGATGAGAAGCAGTCCTACTGCGGTAAGCATGACACTGCTTCTCGTTCATTGCTTTGTAGTTTTCAGAAGCATTTCCAAATTAGAAAGCTTGATATTTGAAGTTTTACATATTAACTCTCTTTTTTTGTTTTGTTTTTTGTTTGCAGCGAACCGCATTTGTAAGAAGGGCTACCGGCGCTGCATTAACGGACGATGTATCAAACACAGCTCCTGGTGTGACGGCACTGATGACTGTGGAGACAGTTCAGATGAGCTGCCATGCAACAGTAAGCAAGGGGGGGTGTGATTGTCTGAAATAAATGGAGATTAAGGAAAATACAAACCTGAACATTTTTTTTTGAGTGGTTGACTAGAAAAAGTGCCGCTGTAATAGTTCCTCACTGTATCCATCTCTGTTTACTTCAGTGACTCTGTGCAGTGCTGCTGAGTTCCAGTGCAAAGACGGTTCCTGCATCACTAACTCTAGTCGCTGTAATCAGGTGGTGGACTGTGAGGACGCCAGTGATGAGATGAACTGCAGTAAGTATTAATTTGGTCTGGTAACCAAAACAAAAGGTTGCAGGTTTTAACATATTTACATATTCTCTCGAATGGATACAATCTTTCGGTACATTCTCTTTCAGGCCCCACTGACTGCTCCAGTTACTATCTGCTTGGAGTGAAGGGCGAGACCTTTGAGCAGTGTGAGTTCACTACACTCTGCTACGCCCCCTCCTGGCGCTGTGATGGCTCCAATGATTGCGGAGACTTCTCAGATGAAAGAAACTGTCCCGGTCAGACTCTTCACACATCAGCGTGCACTGACACCCCCCCTCATTCTCACAGCAAATATAATATGTGTGATATTGCATAATGAAATTGACCTTTCACTTTCTTTCCCACAGAGAAAAGGAAGCATAATTGTCCGGTGAACTTCTTTGCATGTCCGAGCGGCCGCTGTATTCCCATGAGCTGGACCTGTGACAAAGAGAACGACTGTGAGAATGGAGCGGATGAGTTTCACTGTGGTTAGTGAACATCTCTCAGACTTTTCACAAGATTCATTTACATTTTTCTGTTCTTTTTTTTTTTCTTTTAAGATTTTATGGCAAATCAGTTTTCAAATTTGTCTTAATACTTCATCTTTGATGTACTTTATGTTTCATAAAGCTTGATAAAGCTTTATAAAACATGATAAAGCATACTTCATAAAGCAATTGTGTTGTGTTATTTTTAATCAAAATTTTCAGGGCCATTTTTGCCTTCACGAGAACACCCTTTCCATTTATTATTATTATTGTTATTGTTATTGTTATTGTTATTATTATTATTAATGGAACTGATTTTTAGTGGCTTTTTTGTCTTCATGTGAACATTTTTTAATAGTAATATTATTAATAACAATAATAATATATATTTTTATATGTATTAATATGCATTTATTTTTAGTTTTATGTTATTTGACACAATTCTGGTTAATTTCTGACCCTGACCACAGTTACACCTAATAATTAAGTTATTATCATATTTAGATTCTTTGACAATAAGTTTGTTTACTCTTGTTTTCTCAGATAAGTTCTGTGCATCAAATCAGTTTGAGTGTGGGAACCATCGCTGTATCTCCAAATCCTGGGTGTGTGACGGTGCTGATGACTGTGGAGACGGCACTGATGAGGACAGCAAATGCAGTGAGTCACGTTATAACTTACATCAACAAACAAAGCTCTGACCCTAAATAAAGTGGGTTTATCCTCACTGCAAGTGGACCCATATTTAATGTGTTCTGGGTCGTACTTTTACCTTTGTTCGTGGTTTTTGAGGATGTCACGCAATCTGTCCATGTTAGCATCTGTTTAATTTGGCGAGTTACCAACGGAAGATTTTGCACCACCGTTGAGTTTGTTTGGACGCACCGCATTTGACGTCAGCAGAACAATGGTAGTGTTTTTTTCTCCTTTTAAAAGCTGTTTAGCTGATCTTACTATGCATGATTATTATTTACATTATGCATTGTTTTATCCTCATATCTGTGACCGTGTAATTTCAAAACAACTGAGAACCTCTATGCTATTTAAAGGGATAGTTCAACCAAAAAATTAAAATTGTCATCATTTGCTTACGTCAAGTTTTTCCAAACCTGTATGAGTTTTTTTTTTTTTCCTTCTGTTGAGCACAAATTAAGATATTTTGAAGAATTTTGGTAACCAAACAGTTGGTAGTAGCCATTGGAAAAAATACTATGGAAGTCAGTGGCTACCATCAACTGTTTGCTTACCAACATTAAATTTTTGTCTTTATATTAGCCTTGATGAATCTCAGTGTCAATCTAGTTAAGGCTGGATGATAGAATGTGTAAGTGACACTGAGTTTATGTATCTCTTTCAGAGACAAAGACTTGCAGTCCAGAGGCATTCCAGTGTCCTGGCTCTCACATGTGTATTTCTCAGCGCTGGAAGTGTGACGGGGACAAGGACTGTCCTGATGGTGCAGATGAGGGCATTAAGGCTGGTTGTGGTGAGTTGCAAGAGGAATTGGTTATTTTGTGCCATGGAAATCCTTGGAAGAAACTGTTGCAACTATTTCTGCCTAGTTTCTTTATTTAATCACTCTCTTTATTTCTTACTATTTTTTTGCATGTATTTTTTTATTCTCTCTCTCTCTCTCTCTCTCTCTCTCTCTCAAGTGTTCAATAAGACCTGTGATGACTCGGAGTTCCAGTGTCAGAATTATCAGTGTATTCCCAAAAACTTCATGTGTGATCATGACGTTGACTGCCGCGATGGCTCTGATGAATCGCCCGAGTGTGGTAAGCATGTGGTGTCCATTTTATTGTTGCATCTTTTAGTGTTATTTATTATTAGTCACACAGACCCACACAGTGAATCATACATTAAGTCAGATATTGTCTTTCCTGTCATAATGTAGAATATCCCACATGCGGACCGAATGATTTCCGCTGTGCTAATGGCCAGTGCCTGAAGCAGAAGAACTGGGAGTGTGATGGAGAGTTTGACTGTAGAGACCAATCAGATGAAGCTCCCAAAAACCCACTTTGCACAGACTCCGGTGAGTATGGTAACCTTAAAGGACAAAGTGGAAAAAAAAAAACTCTTCTGAAGGCTGTTGCCACATTATTTACTTTTCTACTGGCTGTAACAAAGATTAAATTAAACATATTTTTAATAAAACAAGTACAATTTAAATATATATATTTTTTAAATACAACAAAGATACATAACTTCAAGCTATTTTAAATATTTTTTGCCACTCTTCATCATAAATTGTCCATATACCAATACCTTTTCTGTCACTATTGCTCTTTTTACGCCTTTAATCATAATTTGAATGCAAACAAAATTGAAAAGCGCAGGGTTATATTGCAGTCGTGTGTCTAACAATAAAAACTTGTGGTAATAAACAGGCTCTTGTGGGTTCTTGGAAGTGTGCCAGGTGTGTAATGTAGTGTGTTAAAGGAACTTAATTCTGTTCAATTCACTGCTTCATTAGAGCCACAACTTCCTGTGGCAGTATTAATTCTGGATCGCTGACTGGGTTGGAGTGACTTTATCTTTAGTGACTTTATTTTTTCTGGTTATGGATGACCTCTTACGGCGTTAATTATACTTTTTAAAATCTATTACACCAAGTACAAAAGTTCCAAAAGAACCACGGTGTTCTTTGAAGCTCTTTGGAGTTCCATGTAAATGCAAATATTATGGTACATAAATATGATATTGTTCTCTAACATTGTATAGTGCTATAATATTACCAATTAACTCATAATACACTGATATTCATTGGACCCAGAACAGAAATGTGATGGGTTGTTGTTTTGTTTTTATCCATAGAGAGGCGCTGTAATGACACTGCCTTCCTGTGCACCAATGGCAAGTGTGTGAACGAGACATTGCTGTGTGACGGTAAGAATGACTGTGGCGACGGCTCTGATGAGAACAACTGCTTCATCAATGAATGTCTCAACAGTAAGCTGAGCGGCTGTTCACAGCTCTGTGAAGATCTCAAGATCGGCTTCAAGGTACGTTTATACTTTTCGTTATTTGCACGTAATACTTACGCAAATTAATTACTTGGATATATAACGGTGAATACATGACATGCCTCTTGCCCGGCCCCTGCAGTGCCGCTGTCATCCAGGTTTCCGTCTGAAGCAAGATGGGAAGACGTGTGTGGATGTGGACGAGTGCACCACCACGTACCCCTGTGCCCAGCGTTGCATCAACACGCATGGTAGCTTCCACTGTCTCTGTGTCGAAGGCTTTGTGCCTCGTCCCGACGACCCCACCAGCTGCAAATCAACATCTGGTGAGCCCTCTCCCCTTGTTCTATTATGTTCTAGGTTACTCTTTCTCAAAGTAAAAAGTATACAGTACAGAATGTCATATAAAAATGGCATTGCAAGTTAAAATGTTTAAAGTTGTTGAGTATCTGTTTCAAAGTCTGCTTTACTATAAGAGTGTTTGTTGCTTACATTTCAGATGAGGAACCTTTCCTTATCTTCGCCAACCGCTACTACCTGCGAAAACTCAACTTGGATGGATCTAACTACACATTGATTAAACAGGTGAGGTGGCTGTCAGCCTAAAGATGTTATTTGTAGACTATTGTAATTTTCTAATGTTGCTTATTGTCTGTTACTATTTTGTGTGCTGATTTTGTATGTGTTAACAGGGGCTCAATAACGCAGTGGCTCTGGACTATCATTACGCGGAGCAGATGATCTACTGGACTGACGTGACAACACAAGGAAGCATGATCCGTCGCATGAACATCAACGGCAGTAACGTGCAGGTCTGATGATTCCCTCATGTTTAAAAATATAATTCTACCTTTGATAAAATTCATTACCTATACCATCTTGTTCTGATTGGCCATGTTTGATTGGCTGTTGGATAGGTGTTGCACAGAACCTCTCTGAGTAACCCTGATGGTCTGGCTGTGGACTGGGTCGGGGGGAACCTGTACTGGTGTGATAAGGGCCGAGACACAATTGAGGTTTCCAGGCTGAACGGAGCTTACAGAAGTGTGCTGGTTAACAGCGGCCTGCGAGAGCCCAGAGCCGTGGCTCTGGATGTGAGGAATGGGTGAGAGTCTAAAATCATTTCCCTAACAGTTCCTGATTTTACGTCATGTATTATATAAGCCAGTCTGACTATCCCAGTAAATGCTAGTTTATTTTCTAGGGCTGTGAGTCTATTAGAATTGTGATCAAATTCCATGATATTCTGAGTAACTAATCAAATTATTTGAAATTGCATATTAGTATTTTCCTAGAAAATCCTTCAAAGATAATTTAAGTCAGATGAGTGCATTACAAATTTAGCATTTTTTTACACACACACACA